GTGGGAAGCCGTTGACAGGCGAGGGAACTGAGGTCCAGAAAGAATAGGTGTCACGAGCAAATGGCAACTGTGGAGCAAAACCAGGTTGCCAGGCTCCAGCCCACAGCTCCCCCTGGCTCTGGTGACGGCCCCAAGGGCCTCCGCTAGGTCCCCACCTGGGGCCATCCTGAGTCAGGCCATCAAGTCCAGCAAATCAGGCCGGTGGCCGAAAGACAATGGAGCCACCCAGAGGTGGCCATTCTGAGACAAGCCCACTGGACTCTTAACTGCAGGAAGAGAAGCAGAGCGAGTTAAAGGAATGCCACAAGTCCCAGGACGGGCGTCCTTACTCACCAGACATGCAGGTACAGTCTCCGGGGTCCATGGTCCAGGCTCTGCAGCTTCGGGGCTGTCAAGGCTGAGGAAGGGGGCCGGAGTGAGCAGCCACCACGGGCTCCCTACTTATAGCTGTGTAGGCGTAGGCTTGAGTTCACCCCGCCCCTCCCTGGGGCCAGACGCCCTGCACACGGCCCAGCCAGACGCTGCAGGCTGGGGGTTGGACCAACAGGCCAGAGGAGGCTGGGCACGAAGTCAAGCAGAGGGCGGTTGACAGGGGTGTCAGCGGCTGCACCTGCCTCCCGCCCTCCTGCCAGGTGTCGGGAGCCAAGTTCAGGTGCTGACGGCGCTTGCAGTGTTCAGCCGACACCCAGCCGTTGGGTCTCCGAGTCCTGGGTGTTCTATTATCTGCTGGTTCTGTTCCCTTCGTCATAGGGGCTGCTCCCACTTCATGCTCTCGTCCCTGGTTGGCCTTACAATGCAGGAAAGGGGTCTCCCCCATGAACCCTGGGGTTTAGAGGTCCCCAGAGCCTCTGCTGGGCAAGAAGGCCGAAAGTCAGTGCAATGTACTTGCCTGAATCTGCAACCTCTCCTAGGCCACGTACAGAGCACTCAGGGTTCTGGAATTTTCTGTCATCCTAAATCCACTTGCTGTTGAGAGTTTGCTCATCTGACTCCCAGGGGCAGGTGGGCACTCAGTGTGAGCCCCTGTAGAGTTGAGGGGTGACAAGGGGTGGCTCTTGTGGGATGTGAACGGAGGGAAGGAGCAGGGGGTGAGGGGGAGGGAACTATACCATGGATGGGGTGTTAGGGCCGCAGAACGTCAGCAGGAGAATCTGGGAATTATTCGTTTGAAGCTCGCCCCCCAGGATTTTCAGGGAGTCTCTTTGTCAAGGTAGGAACACAGGACATACTTTGTTCATTGGATGTTTAATGCCAAGTGTCTTAGCCAGGTGCCGTCTGACCTTCACGGGTGCTCTTGCTCTGCGCCTCTGAACTTCAGGGGGCCCTTAGAACTCTCCACCTGGGCCTCGCCCCCCTTCATTCTCCATGCTGCCCTGGAGCTAGATCCCCAAGAACAGCACTGACCCCATTATGCTCTTGTTCAACACCTGCCGTTCCACCAGGAAGCCCACACAGTGCAGCCTCGCTCTCTGAGCTCAATGCGCAACCCGCACCCACCCTCCCTGCTCTACCCAGCCTCCTGGCCTTGAACTTCCCACCTGCAGGCCTCTGCTCCTATCACCTTTCCCATCACCTTAATTAAAAAAATAAATCTTGGGTCTCGCTGGTGGTGCCATTGTTTAAGTCTCAGTACTATGAAGCTACCTGCAGCCACTGCACTGACTGAGTTCGATCCCGGCCAGGGAGTGAACCGCAGGGCGCAGCAGACCTCTCTTGTCTCCCCGCTGCTTCCCTCAGCAGTGTGTTCCAGCCCCTTTGCCTGTCCTGCTCCCTACTATGTCTCTGGTGAATGCCCTCAACCCCGGCACTTCTGGCCAGTACTCCAGTTCCGTATGCATAAGTAAATAAATCTTTAAAAATTAAAAGTGTAAGTGAGCAAATGAATGAGTGAGTGACTGATGAGTGAGCCAAGGATTGGTCTGCTGCATGAAGGCAAAATGAAGATCTCTTTGCCATGCAGTGGGGTCTCCTTAGCCATCCATAAGGATCACGGGGTGCTCACTGACCCACTGAACCATGGGCTTGGTGTGAGAACTTCTAGGAGGAGAAAGGGATGTCGCCGGATGTCACCGATGGCCAGGAGCAGGGGCCTGGGGAGGGCGAGGGAGGGCCATTACCGAGGCACCCAACTGGCCCTTCCCCCAGGATTTCATGGCCTACAAGAGGTCCAGGCACTTCATTCACTCAACGCCTGCTGAGTCCCTGGGAGCCCTGGTGAGCCCTGGAGCCGGTGGTTCAGAAGGGGCCAGGAGGTCATCCGGGGCCAGGAAACACATGACTGGGTGAGGCCGTCCTGCCAGGCTGGATGGGTCTCCCAGGGCCTGCAGCCCCCTGGCAGGCCAGCCTGCCCCACCCTTCTCGGATCTGGCCCAGCCAAGTGAGCCTTGGAGAGGCTGGGTTTTCCTCTGCCCTTATCTAAGCCATCTCTCCACCTCCTCACCCCAGAGCAGGAATGGCTCCTCGCAATCTTGCTTCATTCCTAACTGTACCATCACACCAAATCCAGTCCCTGGCAGGAAGCTATCTCCCAGGCTGGCCCGTGTCCACCATGGGCCGTCAAGTCCCTGGAGAACTGTGCTGAGACTGTCGGCTCCTTCTCAGCCCCCACACCCCAGATCCCCTGTGCTGGTCTCTGGAGTCCATCTCCTGATTTCTGCAAGGTGGCTGAGAAACACGAACGCAGGCCACTGCAAACAAGCAGCGGCTGGCAGGCACAGCTTAAGCCCCGTGTAGAACATATTCCTTCTGAGAAGTGATCCTGGGCCTTCTTGGGGGTAAAGGGCCCGCTGACCATCTGGCACAAGCTCTCAACCCTTGATCCAGACAAAAAATGCAGATTCTGAGGTTTTGGCTGCTCGGCATCCCTTTGGTGGGGCCCGGGGGCTGAGCTCAGAATCCTGATGGCCAGGGTTCTGGCCTCTTCTGTCCTCACACAGCACCATGGCTCCTTCTCCAGGGAAGGCCTCGGCTTTGTGCATGAGTGCAATCAAGTGATTTTCTCACAACAATGAATCACATTGCTCCAGAGGAGGCACGAAGCTAAATATATGGTCTTCCTGTGTTCAGCAGTTATAGCCAGAAAGAAGCTTCTGAGACTCATGCCTCAGGAATTGACCTTAGACACACAAGGGTGGCAGAGAAGACAAACAAACTCTTCTGGGTCTCGGGGGGTCGCCCTCCTTTCCCACGCAGGGACCCTCCTGACGCGTGTGTCTCCCCAGGGGCAGCCTGGAGCCCTTGGGTGTATGATGTTGGCGTTTAAACTAGACCACAGGTGCTGGGCTTATGAATCTGAGCTCCCTCAGCCTGGCTCATGGGGCTGTCCCACTGCGGGTGCCGGGGTGCCCAGGAAATATCTGTGGCCTGCTGATGACTCAGCAGCTCAGTTCACAGAGGACTGTCTGCTCTGGCTCTTGTTGAGGGATCTGTAGCGACTTGTCACCGTGAAGAGCAGTCAGGGTTGGGGAGCCGGGGTCACACTGCCAGGGCCAGATCCCTGCTCTGCTTCTTTGTGGTGCCATTTGGGGCAAGCGACTTGGTCTCAGCCTGTTTCTGCTTCTGACTAATGAGAAAGACAATCTCACGGCATGACGGTCGCCGGTTATATTTCATGTGTACGTCTATGAAAGCTTAAATGAAAGGATGCATATAAGCAGTTGTTCCAGAATCTGGGGCATAAACAATATCCCCTACTCCTCCACCCCTCCCCACTTTCTTCCCCCACCCCCACCCCACCATTACACAACAACAGAGGGGTTCAGCCACCCACCTATTTGGTTAATTTTTTAAAAAGATTTATTTGTGCATACAGAACTGGGGTACAGTCCAGAGGCTCAGGGGCAGCGAGAGGCTTCACCAGAGACAGAGTGGGGAGCAGAACAGGCAGATGGACAAAGCACACTGCTGAGGGGAGCAGCGGGCGGGTCAGGAGAGGTCTGCGGCGCCATGTGGTCACCTCCGGGGCAGGCGGGGATCGAACTCATGCAGAAGTGGTTTTAGCTTCTCAGTGCTGTGCTTTAACCCGCTGCGCCACCAGGGAGGGCCTGGTTAATTTTTTCTAAAAGATTTATTTATTATGCATACAGAACTGGGGTACAGGCCAGAGGTGAGAGGCTTCGCCAGAGACAGAGTGGGGAGCAGGACAGGCAGATGGACCGAAATATACTGCAGAGGGGAGCAGCGGGCGGGTCAGGAGAGGTCTACCGCGCTATGTGGGTCACCCCCTGGCCGGGGTTGGAGCTCATTGAACGTCAGTGGCTGTGACAGCTTCACCGTGCACCACCGGGAGGCCCCTCCCTCCCCTGTTTGGTTTGTTCTCAGCTGGCTCTTCCACCGGCCCCAGGACTGAGCAGGGTGCATTCACCAGCAGTAAGTATTGTGGAGCCTTCACTCTCTAGGTTCCCTGCTTACAAACTCAACCTAATTCCTTTGAGTCCGAGGGTCTGGCCCGCCTGTCCTTTCTCAGTGTTCTCATTGTGTTTTCTATCTGTTTGGACGTAACATTGATCTTCCACCCCCAGGGTCCTCTCATGGGGTAGCGCTGGCCTGTCTGCAGGACGAGGGCCTATGGGTGGACAAAATCAGTGCAGGGCCCTCCTTGGTGGTGCAGTGGTTAGGACGCAGCACTGCAAGCTGGCCCCAGCCGCTTCAGTGCGAGTTCGATCTCCGGCCCCAGAGGTGACCCACAGGGCACGGCAGACCTCTCCTGACCCGCCCACTCAGCAGTGTACTTCTCAGTCAGCCTGTTCTGCTCCCCACTCTGTCTCTGGCGAATCCTCTCACCGTCCCTGCACCTCTGGCCAGTACCCCAGTTCTGTATGCACAAATAAATATATCTTAAAAAAAAACCAGAGCGGAGGTGCGGCTTGAACCCTACGAGGTTGGCCCTGACAGGCGTTGGAAAAGCCATGGGCCACTGCCTTGTCCAAGTGGGGAAACAAGGGCCGAAGAGACAAGAGACAAGCTCAGTCCTCTGTCCCCGAGTTTCGGCTGATGGTGGGGGGCACTTGAACTTGGCTTCCCAGCTGGCAGCCTGTGCCATACTTTAGGCCCGAGGCCTTCAGAATTGTTTAGCAATTTGGGGCCTCCTGGCTTTCTAAGCAGTTGACAAACTAATTTTAATACAAAGAGTTCAAACATACCGCAAAGTACAAAGCACAGTATTACACATAGCACAGTTTCTGCCAGCCGAGTCAACAGGGATCAGCGCTGGCAGTTTTGCTTCAACTCTTTATTTATAAGAAATAAAAACTTAACAGCCTCGTGGCTTTAAACACCGCCTCTGTGCTGCTGACTCCCGGTTTACGTCTCCTGCCCGGGCCTCTCTTTTGAACTCCAGACTCCTATTTCCGGCTGTCATTGAACATCCCCAAGTGGAGGTCAAGCACCACCTCAAACACGG